ATCCTTTGCTCTGATAATTAGCACAATTATTCTAAAATCCTTTTGGACACTATAGATTATATGTTATGAATCCAATTAAACCAAATTGGAAGTAGGATGAGGATGTTTATTCAAATTTAGAAATTGAGGATGTGAAACAGCGCAGCAGAGCTATCAATCTCCTTGTCTAGTTAGCATTTTAAGTCTCTTCTCTAAAAATCACCAAAGAGCTTCATGCAAGCAAAACACAAGGAATATCTTCCAAATGAGCCAAAGCTAAGTTGAAAAAATAATTTGCAAAGTAAAAGGATGCAAACACCCATTTGTAAAAATTATGGATGTATGCACTGGGTGTATTAAAGCCTTGCCAAGTGACTTTCAATTCTTTAGATTACTAGTCTTCGGTATTCACGGGAACAGCACTGGTGAGTGTGCAAGCTGGTGTTTTTAGTACTTATCTAAAGATAACCATCTCGCTCTTGCACTGTCTTTTCTACTAGGGTTTATAGACGTCTTCGTTCATGATTAATTTTAGTTTATATGTTAAGTCAAATTTCATTCGGTAGCTTCATCTTGTTAGTATGTAATCAACTAGGACAAAGAAAACAACTCTCAAAAGCCCAATTTTTAATGAGTTTTTTTCTGCATATGACAAATTTCAGAAATACAAATATAACTGATTTTTTCCCTCAACTCTGAAAGAGAACAGCAGCACCCTACTTAGGCCATTAGACTTGCTGTCCAAAGAGAGGGAACATTTTAAAGGGTAAGACTGTACTACAGACCACCACGGCCCACTTCATTGTTCAGTTCAACGTGGAACTACATAAAGTTTTTGTTTGGAAAAATACTACAATTTTAAGTGTGCAGTGCTGAAAACTAAAATGTACTTGTTTTATATTCTTCCAGCTCATCTTTCAGTTTGAGGGTGGTACTGCCACTCTGGAAAGGTCCAGGGACCCGGACCTGCCAGACCCAGGGCACCTCGCCGCGAGTGTGTGTACCTGCGTGTGTGTGTGTGTGTGTGTGTGTGTGTGTACGAGTTACTCTGTTGTGCTTTTCTCGGGCTCCATAATAATTTTCAGTGAAATGATGAGTTTCCTTATGTATTATAGAATCTACCAATTTGATAATTATAAATGTCACAGTGAAAATTAATGATGATATGCATTCAGCATGAAAAGCAAAGCTGTTTACTCGAGAAAAATAAATTTTCTCTCTCTTAAAAGGAAACTCCTGCTCTGCCTCAGCATGAAGGATCAGAAGCCCTGGCCCATACATAGGTCATGACACTGAAGCTGTAGACAGAAACTGAACTAAGAGTGGTGTTTAGGTCATTCATGACTTTAGAGCTGCTCGAAATTGCAACTGGTGTTGCTACATACAATTTGGAATTGCAAGGTTCCATATTCTATTTCCAATCCACCCATTCCCAAGGGGCTTATTATATTTAACATACTCTAAATGCTATCTGTTTAAAGGCTTTCAGAAAAACACATTTCATTTGTAAAATGTTGGTAAGTGTTTTCCCAAGACTCACTTTAACTTCCATTCTTTTTTTTTTTTTTTTAATTCACATGACATACGGGACAGATGTTTGCAAGTTGTATTCTTTTCTGAACTCAGGGAGTGCAGAAGATACTTCTAATAGAAGAAAATAGGTAAAATAGATATTTATTTTTATTAGAGACAAATCATATCTAAAATAGTTTAATTTCAATGGCAATGACAATGGATTAGGGAAGTTTTAGTTTGTTTTAATCTGTTTCAACTTTCACATTTTAGTTGAGATTGTCATATTTCCTTACAGGCATTTTGGATTATGTCTTTCAGGAAGACTCTACCAGTATATAGAAAATATTTTATAAACCTAACAAGCTTTATGTTACACAATAAGCCAATCACATGTTCCTTACTTCACTAAACAAGGCAGTATTTTATACACTCCAACTTGGGTGATAATACAAATGTAAATGTAATAAGCATTAGAAATTAAGAATGAAATAGGGGCCGGCAAGATATCTCAGCGGTCTAAAGCATCCACTTAGGTAAGCTTAGGCAAGCGCTCAGGGACTGTGGTTTGATCACCGGCAGCACATGCTGCACCAGCCCTGCCTTCAGGGTGGGCTGAGCCAGCCACAAATAAATAAATAAATTAAATAAAGAATAAAAAACAGGTGGGTTGGCTATGGTGTACAAACAGTGCCACAGACACTAAATGTAGAGGAGGTGCAGAGAAGCCTGGAGATGCCCCCCTCGCCAGAGTGACCTCTGGGGACACAAACAGGCAGGCACTTCATGTGAGGGCAGTGTAAGGCAGTGTACCTTGCTGTTTTCTTCCTCTCTAGTATAAACTTTTCTTCTTTCTCTTTATCACATTTCTGTCATATGTTTTCTGTATTTTCTTAAGTCTAGGTCTCCCAAAGAGGAGAGAGTATTCTTTTGGTAATCTAATCAGTTCACTTACTCAAAACACTAAAAGGCACAGAATACACTCTACGGGGGCTGCGCTCATTGTCCCTTCATTCTGATTTTTCAATTTTCGTACGTAGTATAATAAAGCTGATGGACCATGTCCGGTTTCCACACGCAGAGAGCCATACTGTCTACATGCTTTATCTCCTTTGTAAGTTGGACAGTAAAACAGATTCCCAAAACAGAACAGATGACCCAAATCTTACATATGTTAACTTCAAATAGTTTTATTCAATTGAAATTATGAGACTGTACCATCAATATGATTTTCTTTCTCAACCCATCAAATATTTCCCTCTAATTGATGCACTTTAAATTGCAAATAATGTTTTGATCTTTATTTAGGAAAGTCTTGTGCATATTTGTTTACATAAGTGTTTCTTATAAGAAACAAGGGATATATATTCTAGCTTTCTAGGACTTTTTTGGGAATCCTACAACTTTGATGTAGGGAACTAACATGCCCCACTACCTTATACCAATACTTGTTTCTTTTTTTCTTTTTTTTTTTTTTTTGGTGGAACCGGGATTGAACTCAGGCCCTCGCACTTGCCAGGGAAGCCCTTATTCCACTGAGCCATCTCCCTAGCCCCTACCAATACTTGTTTCTAAAGAGAAACCATACTAGCAAGAAAAAAAAAAAAAAAGCTGAGTGTTTTCATTGAAAATTTTGAGCACACAAATAAGTGAATGTTCAAATTTCACACAAATGTGTGTCTCAATTTTAAGTATAATGGTGAGACAAGCATTATGGGCTAGATATTGAAAAATAAAACAAATTTCTTGAGGCAAGATCACACCAGCAAAATGATACTTCTTGTGGAAAAAGTAGAAAATACTTAATATTTTAAATATTAATAGTGATGTTTGAAAGTTACCACAGAACAATTTGCAGTTTTCCTTAAGTAATCTAGGAATCCTGATGCATGTTATTAAAAAGTGGTTCACAGGGAAGGCGATTATCATTTTCTATAAAATTAAGACTGATTTCTTTGGGAGATGAGAAACTGTACAATAGCAGAAGATATAAACGGTGTGTAATCCAAACGATGTGAATATAAATTCTTCTATGTCATTCACTAACCAGATCAATTTGCAAAAATGACTTAATCCTTTTTGTTTTTTCTTTTTCTTTTCAAATACAAAGGTCAAATTCACAGAAATCTTGCAAGGAATAATTTACAGGAAGTATAAACTATAAAAAAAAATTGTAAGAAAGGACCTGGGAACAATCGCATGCCTAAATCCTATCTGTCTGTTAGGGAAGCATTTAAATTGAATGTGGGTGTAATAAAAAGACATCTTAAGTAAGATTCAAAGCACTTCAGTAGCAATGGGGTGGATTTAACGATGAGGTCTTGGTCATTCTAGGATGGAAGAACGAACCTGAGATGGCTAAAAGAAGCGAGGTAGTTACACAGACCCGTCCTGCACTTAGTGTGCTGCTTGCTACGGCTTCCCCTGGATGTCCCCCCAAAGCCTCATGTGCTCAGAGATGGAGCCTCGGGGAGTGCCTGCAGTGTGAGTATCTGATCCTGGGATTAAGGGTGTGTGATCATTAAGTTACTGCACTGACCTGGCTTAGCACTGTGCTGGGTGTGGACAATGGGCAGGCCCAGGGAGGGGCACACCCACTAGGCTTGTCGCCTGGACAAGAGAAAGGGAGAGCAGTGCTTGCTGCTGCTGTTGGCCCTGCCACGGGCTGTTTCTCCCCTGCAATGCCCCTTGGCCATGCTGCCCTGCCTTGGAGACAGCCGGCTCAGGACTGAATCCTCTACAAAGAGAACAACATAAACCTTTCTTCCTGTAACTTTAAGAACTGGGTGTTTTTTCTCAGCAACAAGAAAGTAACCAAGAAACTTCCCCATTCCTGTCTAGTCCGAACAAATCAGCTCCCGTGTGGTATGTGTGCTACTTCTACGATGCACACATTTCAGATCCATGTATTTATATGCCACACTTTCGTACCACATAAGACAGGCTATTGTGCATATTCTTTTTTAATTAATTTTTAAAATTTTTTATTTTATTTATTTGGCACAGGTTCTCACTGTGCAGCTTGGACTCATAATGATCTTCCTGTCTCAGCCTCCCCAGCACTGGGATTACAAGCATGCACCACCATGCTAGTTTCAGTGGCTGGTACAGCCTACCCGGTGTTTCCGGGCGGCAAAGCATGCAGTACCAGGGATCAAACATGGGTCTCTGCACTTGCCAGGCAGGCGCTCAGACCACTAAGCTATTGTCCCAGTCCCAATCCATATTCTTACTCTTAGAGCTTACCATAGACTTGGTAAGGATATTTACGTGAGTAAATAAGCAATATATGATCTTGGACACATCAAAGACAGGCTTACCATGAAGGAAAACATCAAATAAGGTGGCACTCTGTCTTTGTAAAATAACAAAGTGCTCATAACATATTAGTTTGTTTGCAGTGAGGAAAGTCTAGAAAAGATGTGCTAGTCTTATTGTTAGCAAGGATAACTATGACCTTCATAAGGGCAGGATTATAAGTGGCACCTTGTCAAATGAGTGGTACTTACGTTAGCCAAATGTGCCAGCTCTATCTCCAGGAATGAGTCAGTCGTCTTGGGTTCAGGCCTGATTGTGACCACGATGATTTTGGAATTAACCACAGTATAATTTCTGGAATAGAATAAAGAGAGTTATGAAAAACTATGATTCCTACTGCTCAATACAGCTGTGATGACACTGAATAAATATAATCTCAGTGAAGACATAGATGTCATGATTTCATTCATGGAAAGGTAAAGTCAGATGACCGCTACAAACAAATACTACCTATAACTGGAAAATCTGGAGATAAAAAAGTATTTTACCATTTCAGATGAGAGAAACAAAAAACAACAAAGCACTGACAAGCTTAGAGTACTTAAGTCTGATTCACCAAAAGAGTGGTAAATTTTGAATTTGAGCTTTCAGGTAGTCTGAATGGCTGTCATTCTTTTATCTTAAGAAAGATTCAATGGCTTTTTTTTTCCCCAGGAGAACAAATACTCTTCTTGCAAAGTGCCCTTTAATATTTTTGGACTATCTCGAAATGCATTAAGACAGAAAACTGGAATGTGGTATAACGTGCCTAACTATACATAATTGTGACTAATTTTCACTCCTCATTCATTTCAGCACTAAGGATTTATGGGGCATTGCTTTAGTTCAATCTTTGCAGGCTAAGAAACCAATCTGTACTTTGAAGTATCTTACTAAGTGCATTTCATAAAGAAAGTTTAAGTGACTTTATATGCAATGTCATTACAATCTATAATAATATAAATATAAACATAAAAGTGAACCAAGTTTGTGTAGTGCAAAGAAACCTTCAACCAAAATACAGAAAATGCTGCAGATTAACCATTACTTATGCATTTAACAATTTGATTGTACTTTTACACATTTGAAGAAATAAGTATATTCATCCATTGTCATAGATCTGATGTAGATCACCTGCTCTTGCAGGCAGCAGATACTGTTCAGGGGAATTCATATCAGATATGAATCCATATATTCATATCAGCAGACAATGTCATTTGCATTTTACTCCTTTTATTTTCTAAAGCATTGTTTGCAGATAATGAAAATCATCGATATGAAATATACAGCATGCCGTAAGAGCCTTGGAAGTTCCACGGGAGCCCACAAGCACATCTGAATAGACAACAGGTCCTTTCCCTACACAGCTTCCATGAGGCTTAGGGCTTTTGATCTCTTTCTTCTTCATGGTCCTCCACAACTATGACGTGCTGTACTAACCAAGATTTGCCTTTTCTAGAATTTCATTTAAATACACTCATACAGTATCCCTTTTTTTGTTTCGCTTAATTCACTTAGCATAAACATTTTTTTTTTAGATTCATACAATTTAGTCATTTTTTTAAAGCTGAGTAACATTTCACCTTATGGATAAAATACAATTTCTTTATTCATCAATTAAGTAAGCAAGGGATGGGTTGGTTACTTCTGGGTTTTATCTTTTATGAGTACTTCCCTGTGACTATTTTTTTTAAGAACAGAATATATTCATTGGGGGAAAGAAGGACAGAAGGGGGACCCAAACATGTGTTCCCCAGTTCCCTGTGACTATTATGAGTAATTGCCACACATATTTTCTATGTGACCACAGATTTTCATATGTGGTCACTTAGACTATATGAAACATGTGGCCATATGTTTTCACTTAGACTATATGAAAACACCAGAAAACACCTGGGATAGAATTTCGGGGTCATGTGGAAAAAGTATATTTAGATTTACAGGTTAGGTTGCTTTTAAGTAACTGCACCACTGAAGTCCTTTAATTCTCATATGATCCAACAAAGCTGAATCTCTCACATGCTTCATGATAATTTTTTCAATGGTGGGATTGTATTTGGCATAAGCTTTTGCTAGAAAACAATGCTGAGTTAATGTTTTACTAGAAAACATTATTGTGTTTAGTAATGACTATATTTATTATAATAGTCACTATAGCAGTTTAGTAGTTACTCTAGTTAATAGTTACTCTATTTAGTAGCAGACGAACTAGAAGTATACTTTAAATAGGTTATAAGTTTTAATTATTTTTCTTGCATTTAGTGGTGTCAAATAAATGTGTACACACTGAGGAAGGTACCCAGCCTTGCAGGAAATACTGAGAAATGGTGAGGTGTGCGTATTTTGCTTTTCTTATATAGAAAGTGGTGTACACAGAGAGAGGTGGTTCACTATCATTTGTTGCAGTTAATACTGAACGAGTCAGTTGAAGGTAAGCTTCACTGAGGACATTAAACTAAGCTCTTAAGGTTGTTCCCTTTGTCAAGTTATCTTTCCCTGCAAGGTAGAGTGATGACAGGATCAGATGGGAAAACAGGAATTAACAAAGTTGGAGGGCAACCCCAGTAAGGGCTCCTACTAGCACAGCTGTCTGGCCTCCCAGGGCATGGCGAGGTGTCTACAGCTTGGAATTCAAAGGAATGTCCGTGTGCTGACACCAGGAAAATTATCCCAGTTTCTTCCAGAGAAAAACTGGTCTAAAACACACATATTCCAATTTTCTTTTCATGTTAGCCTGATTACATTTAAATTCTGGTCTGGATACTAAAAACTAAGACATGGATGCTTTCCTGAAATTCCATCTACCATTTTACTCTGGTTGTGTTAAGAGTCTTTTTTCCATGCCATAAATAAAGCTCAGTAAATTTTAATGAATGTTAGGTAATCTTAATAATACATATGCATGTATGGATAGATATGAAAATTTTTAAGTTACATAACTGGATGAATTTCTGGCAACCACAGATGTGTGTGTTCTACACAAGAGCTTGCGATATGATGGGACACTCACGAAGTTCCCTGTGTGCTGGGCATGTGGAAATCTGGGCGCCAAAGTGACCAGAAGTGCACAGAAGCAGCTGAAATAAGGAAGCCCCCATCAGTATGGGACTCTGTCTGGCTTAGGGGTTTCGCAACTGGCCGGGAAAGGTCCCTAAATGGTGCCATCTATGTCATGGGCCCTGCCAAGTGTGTGTGTGTCATAACATATTGAGAGACTACTCGGGAAAGGACTGTGTCAGTTTAGTCATAGAAGAGTGGTTCTCTCACCTATGGGAGTAGCTCTTGTGCCAGGCACAGCGACATGACACTAGCGCTCTGCTGGCACCTGTCAGTTCTCTCCACATCTTCTTCCACATGACAATGACAGGAAACCTCAGGGAATCCAGGGACACTACCTACCACGTACACGTCCTCATTTACAGTATGTTTGGTGTATATTTCACTGCTCAAACTATGTATAACTGTCTGGTTGAATAAACGCATTTTAATGAAAACGTCAAACTTTTGCCAAGTTTATTCAAAATGCAATGCCAATAGCACGGTATTAAATGCTCAATGAAGGAAAAACAGACAAACTTATCTTACGCTATGACTTCATTTTTTAAAGTGTGTGCTGCTCAACTTTATCTTTAATATATTCCATCAATTTAACACAATTTGCATAAGTGAATAGCTGGCTCTTGATAAGCCGTCTCAGGCTTTGTGATGTACCAACACGTCCAGGCTGGGTGCACATTTGTATTCACTGCTAAGAAAGCAGATCTTACGGCCAAATGGATTTCACGACTAAAGTAATCAACTTCTTTCCTGTCCTTGAGGTTTGTACTAGTTGATTTCTAAAATATTTGAAAATGTATAGTTATCCCTTCACAGGAAACTCAGCATATTGTTCACAGTTTTTGCAGCGGGTTAAGATGTTCGGGGCAGATGAATCATATCTCTAAGAGAACAGAGCAATGCAAAGCAGCTGCACGCAAGAGACTTACTTTAGACACAAGGGCGCGCCTAGGCTAAGAGCGAAAGAACTACAAAATACACCCTGGAGGTGGCTATCCAAAGAGTAGGGTCAGCTACATTCCCATCAGGTGCAACGGGCCTTAGGTCAAAAACCGTCATGAGACAAAGACCATGATGTCATCATAAAAGTGTCAGTTCGCTAAGAAGATGACAACTAGATGCAGATGCTCATGGCAGGATAATCGAGTATGTGAAGCAAACAACTGACAGACCTGAAGGAAGAAATAGCAACACGGGAACTGTAGGAGATGCTGACAGCCCATTTTGTTTTGTCTTATTTTATTTACTTCTGGTACCGGAGATTGAACTCAGGACCTTGCACTTGCCAGGCAGGCACTTAGGCTGCTGAGCTATCTCCCCAGCCCCCAGTACTCCATTTTAATAACAGATAGATGTGCTGAATAGAAGAGTGAAGGGGAACAGGAGGACAGGAGGAGGATTATAGACCACTTAGGCCCAACGTACATATAGAGGGCACTCCATACTGTAGCAGATTACACATTTTCTCAAGTGCACACCTAACATCTTCTAGGAAAGGTCATCTTTTAGTCTACAAAAATAAATTTAATAAAGTGAAGAAGTTTCAAATCATACCAAAGGGCCGGCCAAATAGCTCAGCAGATTAAAGTGCCTGCTTAGGCAGAAGCAGAGGCTGGGGTTCGATCCCTGGCATGCTGTGCCAGCTCTGCCCCCAGGGCGCATTGGGAGGGCAATTGAGACTGGGCGGGGCGGCACGCACCTGTAAGCTCAGCTCTTGGGAGGCTGAAAACAGGAGAATCACTACAAGTCTGACCTATGTAGTGAGACCCTGTAGACCCTTACTAAAATACAAAATAAATAAATAAGAAAGATTTGTGCTAATAGTGTTTAGAGAAGATAACATGTCTACATCTTGTACCATAACTACTACAAAGACAACAATGTGCAATGTATTAATTATTGTAACTGTCCTACTAATCTGTTTTGAAATTGTCTCATTGCTATTTCTTTCTCAATAAAATTAATTTAAAAAATAAAATAAAAAAATCAAATTATACCAAGTACCATTCCCAACTACAATAGACTGAACTAGAAGCCAAAGAACAATGCGAATATTTACAAATATATAAAAATTAACATGTCTCGGATAATCAGTGTACCATGCAAGAGGTCACAAGAGAGGTTAGAAAATATCTTGAGACAAATCAAACACAACACACGAGAACTTACGGAGTACTCCACAAACAAGCCTAAGAGAAAAGTCGGGAGTGGTAAGGCACGTATATTACAAAAGAGGAAATATCTTAAATGAAAAACCTAACCTTATA